ACCTATCTATTATCTATCTATCTCTCTCTGCTTGTCACTGCTTGTCTATCCATTTACGAAGGACTATACATATTAAACATTTGCAATGGTCAGTCCATTTATCCCTTTGCCAATCTACCAGCACATTAAAGGGCAGTTCCTGGCGGAGTGATGCATACATTCAGATGGACGTCTTTGGTCATATTGCGGACCACATTTAGAACAGATGGTAAATTCTCAACCGTACATTGAGCGCACCTGAAAGAATGCAGTTCTCTTAGATTCTGCACCCAATTTGAGCTTCCGCGGAAGATGGATATATTAAATCTTGTCCTTAATCCTGTTATCACATGAAGCCCGACTGCGTGCAAAGTATCGGAATAACAGCTAATGGAAGCGGCATAAATTTCATCTTAATTGTCACTGATAAAAATACTGTTACTTACCATGTAGCATCATCAAAACCGACAAAATCGGTAACAATTCACGATTCATCTTTCACCCGATGCAAGTAGAGACCGTGTGCCTCTTGACTTCGTTTTTTATATGTCGTGCAACGCAAAAAACATATTTGTTGTGGCTTTCCTGTTGAGGAAAATAACCAATGGTCTTCAGTGAAAACGCCTAGCGCACAAACCATCCAGAAACGTATATGATGTTTATCACATGACAGCTAAGCGAACCACGTGCATGACAATGCTGCTAGTGCGCATGCATAACAGATTTCAAGAAAAATATGTGTATCAACATTGTCTGAGTGCACAGATGCACCGTATCTATCTAGGTGTCTGATGTTCTCTTACAAAGCAAAGTAATTTATAGTCGGTTTTTAAACGACGACAACAACAACACACTGATCGCGGCAACAAACTCTAGCCCACAGCTTTGTGTCTTGAAGCTTTTGAGGTCGAATAGTGCATAAAACGCTTTTTGACTGAGGCATTCTTCCACTATTTGCGGATCACAGCAGATCACAGCCAGGATGGTTTGTGGGTACACTGCTTGCCTAGAACATGGCTGGGGTGTTGGAGTAAAATATACCGTTCACTATGACGTGCAGGAGGTATCAAGGAATCTCAAGAAATAAAAAACGCTATGGTTGGCGCTTAGAAAGTGTCTTGAGTAAGGTCATCTATCTCAAAACTTCGTATTTGCCTGGAATAATTCAATACAAACCGGTCTCTTATTTGCCTCATATTTTTTCTCAATCGGTCACTGTATTAAAAACTGAATGCAAGATTTGCTTTGAACAAAGAAAAATAAACATCACTCATTAGCAAATCTAGGAATTGTTTGCTGTCGAGTAAATGCCAAACGACGGGGTGATTTTAGCTCCCGGATTATTTGAAATAATTTTGAAGGTTCACTGTTTACAGTGAACTCACCGTCTTCAGCAGTATTTCTGTAGGCTTGCACCATTCGGTCACGATTCTGCTTTGGTCCACATTAGACACTTGAATTCCAGGTTGAAGTAGGGCACAATGTAACCACAGTTATATTCCACTTAGCTGCGTAATTTGGCTGTCATTGAATACACTACTACATAGTTATTTGTCATTTTCTGGCTAGAGAAAAGTGGTTAGTAACATAAGAACAAACGTTTTTCAACTGCCCGCAAAAACCAACTCAATTTTAACATGTGTCAACAGTTATGTATTAAAGCGGAGGTTCCAGGCAGATTTGCTGCATCAAGCAGGCAACATACGACCGTTGTTTTTATCAAGGGATCCTAGCGTTAATTTTGGGATCTTGACTTTCCGGTAAGTACCCGGATGATATAACCAACAATGTTTGGCGTTTCAGATAAATCCTTCAATTTTGATTGTTCGTAAACTATTGGGCTCTCTTTCTAAACAAAGGTTGACCTAATTAACGACAAGCTACAACTTTTAGTTGGCTTTTAAATATGCCAGCCGTGAGTGCGCCAACTTCCAGATGAAAAAGGTTCAGGTGGGATGCAAATATAGCCCGGGGCAAGTGGTTTATGGGACAAATCAGTCAATAAAATCATGCAGAATATTAGTTCGTTTGAACCAGCGATCGGTTGCAACATGTGGCATGTCGTTTTGAGCAGCGACTTCTGAACACTGTCGTTATTTAACAGTTTACTTGAACAGGCTGCGATGCAGATTTACACTCCCAGGCTCGCCAAATTGTAATTGCTGGCACTGGGACTGCAAGAAAACCTGAATGCTAACCTTAGGTTAAGGCGGTGTCTATTAGTTGGACATGGTCAGTTCAATCATGAATTTGTATGCATGATAAATGATACGCAGTACATTTTTTCTAGGAGCACTTATAATGATGGAAGTAAGCTGTCCCTGCTTTAAAACTTCATCTAATTACTGTTTTGGCACGCCTTGAGTTCACAGCAGGCTTTAAAACTCATCTAATTACTGTTTTGGCACACCTTGAGTTCACAGCATTGATTCTGACTGCACCATTTTGAAGCAGAGATACCAGCGGTTTCTAATCTCTGGCTGTTGATCTGGTGGTGCACTCAGATCCTCCTCCCGTAAAAGGAGCGGCCATTGTGTAATTATGTAAGTTGTTCTCATCCCTGTGAATAAAGGTGCCTCGCTCGACGGGATGTTTGCCCCCAAGCTCTCCTCTCAAAAGGAAAGGCACCAGTACGTAATTATGCAATTTGTTTTTCCACGTTCGAAAACATCCCTATGAGCAAAGTTGCAAATGGGTAATATTCAAATGTAAGTGCGTCCTTCAGACACTTAGGAATATTCCAGTATAATACAAAAAGTAAACACGGAGTGCCTGAAATATCGGTGTAAATTGGGTGCCCAAAACCCTATCGACGTCACACAGAAGGATTATTGGAAACCCTGAGCTCACAGAACAAATTTGATGATCACCGAACTTACACAACTGGTGAGTACTGGGTGACTTATCAGGGGATTTCGGAAACCCAGGCCAATAAAAATGGAGCCGCTAAATAAAGGAGACTGCCCAAAAGAATACGATGTTGAATTGAGCATCCAACTGTAGAAAGATCAACCAAAGTGTAACGTGCAAGTGATGGCGATGGAAAAAATGAGCCGAATCAGCGGGAATGCTGAATAGGTATTCCTGTATTGTAAACAATTGTCAGTAGTCCAATCATTAATGTTGGCCGATAGGCACTCAGTCATTAGGTCCACGGCTCAGCATTTCGGTGCTTTGAAATGGTGCAACTGGCCATAATGAATCCGACTAATGGGGAGTTTCCCCGGATAGAAGTAGGTGAACTAGCAACTGAAACGATGAACTCAGTTGGAAAATGGCTTTTGGCTAGGTGAAATGGTAGGCTAATTGTTATCTATCGAAAATCGTAACCCAGATTATCGCATACAAACTATGTTTTGCACTGCCTAGAATGTGGTGGGCTCTGAATGTCATCTAAACCACCAGATATAGAGAAACCTTCTACTACCGAAAACATCCGTGCCCTGTATCAACTGATACAACACATCCGAACGGCTGAAATGCCTTCCGGTTAGCAGACAAAATTCTTCATCATACGAGGAGGCATCCTCTGTGCATTCTTTATTTGTGACTGTGTTTAGAGTTTCCAGAGAGTAGTTAGTATCTACAATGAGAATGGAGAGTTGATGACATTTCCCGAAAGAGTAAAGTACCACCCGGTTAACAGCGACGTTCAAAACGTCTCAAGTCTTTCCACAAAAATTCATTTAGTGTCCGCTGGCTAAGGACAATCCGGTCACGTCAGGAGAACTACCGAAGCGTTTATTCCAAGTCACCGCACTAAGCCACGGAGTAGGCAACAGAACTTCAAGTGCTTGGAGTTTGTTTGCCCTGGAATTCAACAGTCTAATAGAAACATCGAAGGAGCTGATCAGGTTTTAAGTCATTTGTTGCAATGAGCACTCCTGTGGTCACTGAGTTGGTAAATTGAATTGAGCAAAGTATGTTTCACTCTGACTGCTAGTCGAATGACCATTTCCTTCGTCTTTTACTCACTTTTCAGACGGCCTGGAACACTGTTGCGTGCAGCACGGGACACCTGACTTGGTCGAAGGCTCCGAATTTCTGCACAAATCTGTAGTATAGTTTTTGCAAACTTTCTTCGTCACATCGCAGCAAACTTTTATTTGTTATGTTAACGAAAAACGATTAAAGTTTCAATCTGGCTGGATGCATGCAGATGCGGTTGTTCTTTCCTCAGCTTAATGTTTGATTAAAGAATTCACTTGGATCTGCTATCTGAAGTGTCGGAAACACACCTGATGTCGAGATTGATAACAGTGGGCCACAAATAGATCAATAGGGGTTTATCTATCACACGGCATGGCGAAATGTCCTTCATTAGCTGTGTTTTGGGCTCCATCTGGGAGACAAAATGGGAAAAACTGAGTTCGTCTTCATGCCCGACTGCAGTTGCCGTAATTTCTCAGAGTCCCGATGCTCATTCGGAACCAGGTAATCCCGAAATCCCCGGTAGGGATGTGCAGCACTCTCGCTCGAACAGAGAATGTCCTGCCTTCACTAATCCCCGAACTACGTGTAAAACGTGTGGTTTAGCAAAATCTGGATAACGTTGCACCCGAGGTTGGTCGCCCGATCGGCCACAAATAATCCTGAAAATCAGTTACCACAGAACGATTGAATGATTTCATAACCGTTATCAACCCAGATAAGTTGATGTGCCGCTTCGAGGATTCAGATATTTAACGGATAATGAAACGCGTCACGATTGCGTGCGAGCCAGTGGGACGAATTCCACGTCAGATCCATGTGGTTGGTGTCGAAATGTGGACATGATAAGGTTTTACGTTCGTATACGAGCTTTTACAGTGAGGCGTGGCCTGAGTGTTACCATGGCACAAAAACTTTAGTTCATTGCAGGCCTCGGTGACAATTCATCTTTTCTTGGACTCAACATAGTACATTTTAGGTTGGAGCTGTTATACAAATTTCCAAAACTTAAGAGTACTAGAGGAAATTTGGCTGCTTCCAGATAGTGGATTGGAGAGCACACCTTCACTGAATGTCCTCGAAACATTGCACTATAACACTGATTTGGGCACTGTGATGCTATGACGTTCAATTATAAACTTCTTGAAAGTTTTCCGATAGATCGGGTGACGCGAGACCTGATTGAATCCTCTTATCGAAAAGAAATCCCAGAAGCTGCTGAAATGAAATGGGGGACAGCGATTGGAAAGTTGCTTATTTGCCGAATCAAACTTGTAGGTTTGGGATCATTATGTTCACAAATGCGATCCAAAATCATGGAATTGCCAATATGTGCCACACAACAACGATTACTAACTTCGTTGCCAGGAAAATGTTGGAAAAGTTTGGAAGACACGCATATTTCTGCTCTCATTTACTTGAAAATTATCGCACAAAGTAAACTGGCACATCGCCTCCCAGCTATGCTCGTGGCAATGCGTCGTCACGGAATACGTATTTGGTAAACGCGAACTTAGTTTTTCAAGCTGTGTCATCTACAGGGGAAATGGGGATTGTTGGTCGATGTTTGAGTACAAGTTAGCTGTTTCCAATGTGGAAGAAAATCTGTTTGTGTTAGGCTACGTGAAAATGTCGACTACCAATTTCGCCAACCACAGTAAGCATCAGCCCGTATTGTGTTTTTCTATTCACAAAGAATTCCACACACTAATCGGCAACCCTGTTGCCAAATGCATACCTGAACGGATGGAGATTTGGTTGTATACCAAAAACCATGGATGTGTAACACCAATGAAACCTTCATCTGAAGACCTTTTGACCCAATTTCTGTTGCTCCGCGCTGCTCTGTGGGATTCACAAAGGCAGTGTACGGTTAGAATTTTGCGTTCTGTTTCGGTTGTCGCTCCAATGTCCCCAAATACCAGTTTCACATATCCATGACCTCAATGATACGGACTTACATAAACAAATTCCAGTAAGAAATTCCAAGAAATAAAGGTCACTCCATCTGAGAATCAGTAAGTGTGTTGCAGATATGCCAAAAAGGCTCGTAGAGACACGTGATGGAAACAAGAGGGAGCAATGTAACTGCGTGCATTCACATTAGTAGGATACAAAACACATATGATGAAGCTGAACGGGGGTGGAACGCGATCATAAGAATGCATTTTAATTTACACATATCGCTTACAGATGAAGACAAACCACGAAAATTATTGGGATGGTGTACTAGATGCGTACAATTTTGATCGTATCGTTTCGGCTGGCAACAAACCACGTGAGAGCGCACAGTCCTAGTTTGTGATGACTCCTTTCTTGAGCGTATTCACCACCAAAACTCCATTATCTCTTTGCGCAGAGCAGCATCTTTTCGGGATCGAAAGCAGCAATGCCTGCATCCCTCTGGTCGGCGCGACTTACCACCTCTTGGTTGTGCCATCCGAGTAGCCTGGACGTCAGTCTGGGTGAGTTAGGATTGCCGCAACTCCGGACAGGGCCAACTATCCTGTTTCGTTTCAATCTCCTGATTAGTTTCAACAATACAACACAAATCATCTGGCGCATTCGCACCAGTACATACGAGAGAATCGTGGGGCTCATGTGTGAGAAACGTGGGAAGTGCTGCAAATCGAATGCTGCTTTGTTAGCAAACCATGGAGTTGATGACGACAAAAGTGTTTGTACGAACATGGTAGCCCAAACGGACTGATTAGATTGTCCCTGCCTTTGTCCGACAGAGACCGCCGTGATTCAACATTGCCGGCACACAAAACCCACCCAGCATAATAAAAATAAGCTTGATCGAGTAAACCATGCCGAGGTCCGCTGGTGCCAACAAGAATCAAAATCACTCCTTCGCATGGCTAACAATTTACATCCATCATGTGATGTCCTGTCGTCTCTGAATCTCCGCGCCTCCACAAACCTGGAAATCTGTATTTCGATGTCAGCTAGCCCATCGGATGCCGGCCAACAGAAAGAAGATCCACCGAGCCAACTACGCCACCATCCAGACGGAGAGATGCAGCGTCTGCGGTGCTCGATGTGTTCTGGAAGTATCTATACGAAGGTAACTGCGGCTTACCTCTGGACGCCTAGCAGCATTGGGATAGGTTCTTTCAGATCCACAACACGCAGATAGCCGGCCAAGTTGGGTGGTATTACCAACTGAATGGCGTTTGATCGAGTCAATTACAAAATAGGAAGTTGGCCCTACTATCCGTGTTATGGGCCATTCGTCCGCTGGTCTGGACAAGCTCACCCTAAGGATAATCCAACAGTTCAATGCTAAAGCGCTGACTGGGTATTTCAACTTGCTTGAATTAGCTGGGGTTCGTGCTCGTAATACCTTTGTTCCGAAGGTTCCAAATCCGAATTCGTGGACCAATTGACATCGATCTCCTTGTCGCGCATTCTTGTCCGATGCCTTCATAAGGTTCCTGCTGATAGTTGGATCGGTAGATTGCAAATGCCCTCACTCTTGTTTGCACTTGTACATTAAGACGGTTGTTTGGAAGCTACATCGGTTTTACACACCCTGCTTCGTCACTATTGGCTGACTTCTTCTATGCTCAACTTGGCTTTGATATCTCGCAAGCATTTGATTCGGCTTCGCATGAAAAAGCCATCAGATCTGCCGAGGCGTTTGGAGCACCGTCACCTCCATTTCGATAAACCGCACAGACCTATGCGAATGCTCTGGCAGTTTTCCCCAGTTCCGAGGTTCACTTTCACAAAGGCGTGAGGCAAGGAGATCCACTCTCCCCATTTTTGTTCATCGTTAGCTTCTTGGACTATTGATGCATCAACTAATATATTAAATCCACGACTCCCGTTGCTGATGACTGGGTTGTGTTGGCATACCGTCGGGCTTGCCTTTATCGGAAGACTGATGCTGCTGTGGTTGAATTGGGAAGAGCTGGTTTGAAGATTAAAAAGACCGAAAGACGAAAGCGAAAGTGGGTTTTGTGAGTGGGAAACATAGGGCGACTGCAATCTAAATCGAACCATCATGCTTTGCCGAGGAACTAGACAAACTTCTGGTATCAGAGGTGTCAGCACTGAAATCCTCGTGTCTTAGTCACTGTCTCCTACTACCAGTGAACTTGTCAGAATACTTAGCATACACACATGTCCACTTTGTCAGTTTCACAAGACGCCCGAAGAGGTTCGGAGCTCTAACCATCACTGGGACAAAATCGAACCTCTCCTGCATTCATACTGGTGCGATCACATTGGAATATACTAAAGTAATATAAGTTGACCTTCAAATCGGTCATATCACTTGCCGGCTAGTCAGTACTAATCATAACACTGAGCATGCAGTCCGTCCCGGTTGTCCGTGGTGTCGGAGATGGCTGTAATGATAGTATTCGCTAACTGCGACAAAATGTCTGAAAATACCATTTGAGTTGGACCATTTTCCTTTCAGCCATCATTTATTTCTAAAGCGCACTGATTGAACTCCAAGTGTGACCGATGATTTTGCTCAACGTGAGGAAAAATGCACAGAGGTGGGTATTTGAAGTAGCGCTTTGTGTGGTATGCAGTTAGTGTGTCTTTCGATGTAGAAGACAGGATTCCTTGGCGATGGCCAAGCGGTCTAGATGGGCAAGGAGCTCGCAAAGCAGTGTTTCCTGTTTGGGAGAGCATGACAGCTATAGATTGCAGTGCTTGATTGCCACATTAAGATCTAAGGATGTATCAGGACACGCCCAGACAGAAAAAAGCACATGCAGACAGTGGCGCCTCCTCAAGATCACTATCGGTTCGACACCTCCGGAAAGTAGGTGAGTTGGCGGCTCTCACCAAACAGGGCTTAGCGACATACGACCAGCGTAGTGGGCCTGAGAGTGTTCGCGACCGGAATACCGCCATTGGCAGTACGGAGCGAACAAGTGAACGACCATATTTGGCCATTTAGTCATCCTATGTATTACTCAGACGCTCTGTATGCTTTGCCCTGAAAATACAGCAGTGTCCCGAGTTCTCTGTCTTTTATATATTACGCAGACGCTCTGTACGCTTTGCCCTGAATATACAGCCGTGCCCCGAGTTCTCTGTCTTCTCATTGTCGCGTAGTCTGGCAGGCTCATTTCAGGCGTAACCAATAGACTGCCACCCACGATATAACA